ATAGATAGATAGATAGATAGATAGATAGATAGATAGATAGATAGATAGATAGATAGATAGATAGATTGATTATGTATACGGTATATAAACATATTTCTTGAAATATACAATCTTGATCGTACCTTTCTTCATCTTTAAAATTGTTGTTAAAATTATCTGGTTTTCCTCTCTGACAATAATATTTGAAATAACAGTTTAAAGCACTTCAAGGAAGAGGGGAATGATCAGATGGTTGCTGCCCTCTAGTGGGTTATTCTGAAACAGATAAAAATAAAATCACACAAAATTGTTATTTATTGGAAGTACATTTCTTTTATCTTCTTTTTTTCTACATGATTTTTTTTTCTTTCTGCCTTGCATATATGGGTTTCACCTAGCACAGAATTCCTTATCATGATAATTGAGACATAGTATATAATGTCCCTGACTTACAACTGGTCATTTAGTGACTGTTTAAAGTTACAAAGGACCTTGAAAAAGCTCACTACAATCCAGATTTGATGTGTGACACCCACGTTCTCCCCCCAACATGGCTGTTTTCAGTGGCCTACAGCCATATGGCTGTGATTTACTCTCTCTGGAAATGCAGAGAGGAGTCAGGGGTCTTCCTGCCAACATTCTTAGCTCTAATGAGCTCTGATGAGGGATTCTGCACAGATGCAAATCCATATCTGTAAATGCACAGATAATTGCTCAATGAATCATAGCAACCTGTCCTTCTTATTGCCATTCTCTTGGTAACTCATTCACAAGAAAATTATTTCCTTTATCTTGGTTTAAATATTTTCAAAACACCCACACAACCCGCACAGATTTGTCTTGAATCTCTGTAATGTTCTCACAGTAATACTTTTCCTGGGATTAATTTTGCAAAAAAAATACTTTGCTTTAATATACCTCAAAGCTGGGAAGCATTTGAGATACCAAATCCACTTCATGGGAGGTTCTCAAAAGTGTTCCACTCTGTCCTTTGGAAAAACCTTTCTGTGAGATTTCAGTATCCCCCAGACAAGATGTATGTTCCGGAAAAGAGAGAAGGAATGAAAAGCATGAGAATGAAAACCAGCTTGGTCTACCGGGTAAGGCGACAGGATAGAAAGCAGGAGGCTGAGAGTTCAAGTTCTGCTTTATCCATGAAAGCCAGCTGCTAGGTGACATTGGGCCCGGTACTCTCTCAGCCCAACCCATCTCACAAGGTTGTTGTGGAGAAATACCGTAGGAGAAGAAAGGGATACGGATATGGTGTGGCCTTGAGTTATTTGTAAAAATAATAAAGGCAGAATTTAAATAAATAAATAAACTGCAGGTTATCTCAAAATTCAAGAGATGGCAACTGCAGGCTGTTGAACTTCTTAACTTTTGCTTACAGGTTGTTCTTATTCTTAAGAATTTTTTTAAAAAAAAATCTGAAACAGAAATAAGCAATGACAAAAAATTTATGCATCTATTTTAATTGATTCCCCACACACACATACCATGGTTATCCTTCATGACTCTCTTTTGAGGAACAATACAATTCATAATAATCTCCAATAAACTTTCCAATATTTCTCAATGTCAGTACTGTTGTACACCCTATCCAGGACTTTTGTTTTGCATATTTTACATCTCACACCTTATTTGAGTATTCTGAGTAGAATCCAGCATAAATTGACTATTGTTCATGTTTAAAAAACCTTCTGTCGTTTTTTTCTGTCAATATTACTGTTATCTTGTTACTTGTGGACTAAAGGAGACTGAAGAGAATGTGCAAATCTCCCAATAATAGCACTGTTGTAGTTGATAAGACGCTGAGCTTGTCAATCAGAAAGGTCGGCAGTTCGAATCCCTAGTGCCGCGTAATGGAGTGAGCTCCCATTACTTGTCTCAGCTTCTGCCAACCTAGTAGTTTGAAAGCATGAAAAAACTGCAAGTAGAAAAATAGGAACCGCCTTTGGTGGGAAGGTAACAGCGTTCCGTGAACCTTCAGTGTTTAGTCATGCCAGCCAACTGACCATGGAGATGTCTTCGGACAGTGCTGGCTCTTCGGCTTTGAAACAGAGATGAGCACCGCTTTCTAGAGTCAGGAACAACTAGCACATAGGTGCAAGGGGAACCTTTACCTTTAGTTGATAAGAATGTATAGACTAAGCCTACATTGATGGATGTTTACCAGGCTCATGCTGTCAGTTTCTTAGGTATTAAGTCTTTACCGATTGCTTTTGATGGTCATTTAGAAACAACAAAGAAGTTCCATTGTACTGCTTCTTTTCCTTTCATTTGTACTTCAAAAAATGACATGCTTCCTGGTTCTTACTCCAAAGTAATTAGTCTTGTCAACTCCTTTAAAATACCATGGAATATTAGAAAGCAGCTTTCCAAAATAGTGCCCCGAAAGCATCAGGTAATATAACAATTCCAAATTTGCACTGATGATGTTACCTAGTTGGGTAATGAAACTTCTGCAAACAAACAGTCAAACTCAGACAGCATGAAGGAACTTCTAAGTTTCCAAATTTGGTGATCTTGGTCTCCTTGGCAATGGCCCCTTGCTATTTCTTTTAAAGTTGAGAGTCAAACATTTCCCTTGCGAGCCTATTCAATTAAGGATATATCTCTCTGTTTTGTGTTTTTGCAGATGCTACAATTGTGGTGGCTTCGATCATCATGCTAAGGAATGTATTCTACCTCCACAGCCAAAGAAGTGCCATTACTGTCAGAGCATCATGCACATGGTGGCAAACTGTCCGCTTAAAACTGTTCCACAGCAGCCTACGAGTTACCAGGGAAGATATGAAGCTGATACCCAGCCCTCCACATCAGCCTTCCTGAGGGAAGGAGGGGGAGGAGCCTATGGTTACACTTCTCCATCCTATTCTCTGGAAGGAAGACCAGATATCTTACCGCCTTCAGGAAAGTCACCTCAAGAAGCTGCTTCAAGTAAGTTTTCTCCGTCACCTGAAGAGCAAAGCCGGAAGGGACCGTCAGTTCAAAAAAGGAAAAAGACTTAAAAAGCTTTGTCACCGCCTTTCATTACCTCTTGGGACGTCTACCTCATTCAAGCACAAGGAGAATTAAATCTCATGTATTATCCTGCAACAAACCTCAAATTTTAACTACTGTTGTGGACCAGAGGTCTTTTGAAAACAAGAAAACCAAAGCAAACCAGTCACTCCAAGTGAATTTCAGATGAGTTTAATGGCCAATGGGTTTCTAAACAGTTTGGGCATCAGGATCTCATATGATTTTTTAAACTTAGCCTAATTTATTGTTGGGCATATGTTCCTTTGCGTCTTTCTCTCTTTTCCAGAGCAGCCCTGTAGAATTATGGAAGATTATGCTTCCTTAGCTGCTTGATGTGGTTTATCTTAACCATGTCTTGGTTTTTTTGGAGGGGGGTGGTGGTGTCAGTCATAGTATTTGTTAATTCTAAACAGCGATTAATAAGAAATGGAAGTGAGTTTTTTTTTTAAATTTCTTCACAGCCATCCAAGGGCTGTGAAGCAGCACATATACCCACTGTGCACAGAAACTCATTCCTGTTACAATAAACCATCTGATATTTTGATGTACAGACTAACCCATTGCCTAAATGTATACATTAAATCAGTGTTTCTCAACCTTGTCAACTGGAAGATGTCTGGACTTCAACTTTCAGAATTCCCAGCCAGCGAATGCTGGCTGGGGAATTCTGGGAGTTGAAGTCCAGACATCTTCCAGTTGACTAGGTTGAGAAACACTGCATTAAATACTATGTTTCTTGAATTCATGGAAAAGTAATAGTTTGAGTTTTGAATGGATTTTGTTTTTCTTTAATGTTGCCTTTTTTAATTGTAAAAGAGAAAGAAGGGGAGGGAAAGAATTGTAACCATACTTTCCTGAGTAGTGTCACCATTACCACGGTACTGAATAGATCAATACATCCTTGTAGAATTCGGGAAAATTGTAATTCCCTCTGTGGAAAAGATGGGAGGATGGAAGTTTTTAGTCCTTTGCTTGAAAGGGTAATGCCTTGGTTGAAAGATGCCTCACAATTGCCACAAAGTTTTAAAGAATTAAAGGAGCTTCCCACTTTTTCCCTGCCCTCCCCTTAAACAATGAATGTGTTATCTGAAATACTGTATCAACTCAATATGACTTATATACAGGTTAGGTGATTGTATGGGAGAATGTAGATGTTAAAATAATGGTTTAAAGTGATATTGAAATGCCATTTGGACTCCCCTTTTGCAAACCTTGATTGGACTCATCTTGTGCAAATCTTGAGGATTATGAAAGCGATGGTGGTGGCAGCAGTAGCATCTTCCAGTTCAGTGTTCATGTCACTGGACAGATTCTATAGGTCTTTCTAAGAAATGGGTCTTGGTCTTTTAACTTCCCAAAGATCAATATTTGATATTTGCAGTGCAATCTTGTATAAGATCTCACTGGCCTTAAGCTCAAGAAAAATTAGTGTATAGGATTGCAGTCTTAAACTTATTTAATTGCTATATTGTGTAACAGTAATTTCAGTCTGTGTATATGCTGAATTATTTAAAAGCCTACACAGTTGTCAAGGTGCTTAGAGTTTGGAAGGATTGATTTTGGAAATGGAGATTAGAAAGCCAGTTAATTGGCAATACATTTATCCTGTCCCACACATACATCACAAGGATTTGAAATCATTATTGAGGCTTCGTCATCCTTGAATAGTATTCCCCAGGATTCACCTTATATAGGAACCAGTGCAAAACCCAATGAGTTCAATTCTCAGCTGCTTGTCTGGTCACTCCTCCAACTTTCGTAGCCTGACCTCCTGTTCTTGTCCATCCCTTTCTGACTCATAGTCCCTTAGGTTTTCCAGACTTTCCTCAAAGCCCCAATCTGATGTTTGTGATGACAGTTCTTCCCTGTTGTCTGGACTAGCTTCTGAGGCATCCATTATACTACCCCCCCTCTCCCAGCATGGCCTCCCCCCCCCCCGATCTCCATGGACCAGTTTCCATGGGTCCCGGAGGTGGAACTAGCAGACCAGATAGGGGGTATGCATGGCCTCCCAGGATATGTCCTTAGGGCCATACCCCTTCCAGTTGATTAGATACTGCAACCAGTTCTGACGCCATGTAGAGTCTACCATACAGGCCACCTCATACTTCGCTGGCCCTCTCTGAAATTCCTGAAACCGGATCATCCTTGTTGTCCAAGGTGGCTCTTGCGCCATCCATTACAATATTATTTGATCAGGATCAAACTGTCACAATTTTCCCACTCTCCCAGGAATGAGCGAAAATCAATTTCTTACCCATTTCACCAATTTTGGAGCAGATGCTGCTGTTGTTGATATCTTCAAAGGACACATGAGCCAAGTGGTAATTAAGTCCTATGGACCATTGCTTCTTTCTTTTAAAATTAATCTTTGAAGAAATACTTTACCTCATTTATTTGGCAAATTAATGTAAAAGCAAATATAAGTAAAGATCTGATTTCATAATATACAGTAGTTTGAACCAAATCTTCAGATTTTCTTCGATTAAGTCATGGATGTCCAACATTTTGGCTTGCCTGGGCTGAATTGAGTGAAGAGGAATTGTCTTTGGCCCCATATAAAATAGATAGCTTAGTTAATGTATATAAATCACATAAGAATGTTAAAAAGTTTACAATTCTGTGGGGCCGTGTTACTTGCTCTCCAGGGCTCCATGTGGCCTGTGGGCCATCGATTGGGCACGCCTAAGTTAAGTCATTGAACATCTTGGTTTGTTTTTGGTAGGCTCTGCTCAATCTGAGAAAACATTATTACCCACAGGAAAAAAACCCTCTTTAAATATTGTTGATCATACTGCTGTCACCACTGTCCCTCTTTCCTTCAGGAAAATGACTCCATGGCCTAAAGGTTGGCCTAACTCTTGATGATGGAAATTTGCTTGGAACCCATGGCAGTGCTGGAGGGAAGGAAGAATCTTGGTTGTTTATACTGACGTTTTCAGTGAACTTCAGTGCAAAATGGGGTGTTTCGGGTTTTTTTGGATTTTGTTTTGTTTTTGTTTTGACCATACTGAATGTGATGTATGTATAGAGAACTACTTCCTTGCCTTATGCAAGGATTGTAAACTTATTTAAGTTATGTAGACAAATCGAAGTGGCATTGCCTAATCTTTTAGTAGGTATAATAACTGGGTTATAAAACAGCAACAATGGCAAGGGTAAGATCACTTTGAAAATATAAACCAAAGTTTATTGACCTTTTTTTAAAAGAGAGTAATATGGAAATGGTGGATTTGAAAACTGGCCATTCTCTGCTGAGCTACTTTAAAATTCCAGAACTACTTTTTTTTTTTGAGTGAAATTAGTAATTCCAGCAGCCACAGACTGAATTGCTAAGAGAGCCTAGCAGACCTATCTTATTATTAAAAGTTTACATTTTATTTTTGTATATTGGAGGATGGTCACTCTTGCAAAATATCCTTCTCAGGACAAAGAACCTTGCTCAGGGAAAATGGTATGTAATTATTACTTTTCTTTTACAGATTGCTTGCTTGTTCAGAACAAACAAAAAATGCTTTGATACTGCTTTGTACTGTGCTATTATATACATATTATGTGCTAATGATAATAACTACCTCTGTTTAATAATGAGTTTCTTATGACTCAGATATCAACTTTTTGCATAATATTTCCCATGTACTGAAGTGAACACATTACAAGCATGGCTGACCTTCGGGGTTGTGGGCAGGGCAATGTCTCCCCGTTCCTGAATTTGTAAGCCACTTTGTTAATATAAGGAAGAATATAAGTATTTCTGTTTACAGCAAACAACTACCTCATACTTACCACAGAAGCAATACCTTTGTGTTGCTCTGGCCTTAAATGTGGCTTTTGATTCTATGGTACATACCTCTACTTTAAAAGAAAAAAAATGCTTGTGCAACAAATACATATTACAGTGATATTTAGTTTTGAAAATGATGCATCTGTTTGAAATGATATGAGAGTCTCTCTTGAAATTTAACTTTTTCTACCTGGTAGACAGAGAAAGAGATGCTGTTGATATACCAGTAGGAATCCCCTCCCCCTAAGAAAGAACCAACATGTGGGAATTAACTAATTATCTCATTATTCCTGGATGGGAAGAGAATTGCTAGTTTTTTTCCTGGCTCTCTGTTTATAAGAAATAATTAACTGCTGAAAATAAATAATAAGCAGTTATGTAACAACCTAGCAGACTGCTAGTGAGAACGATGCTATATTTATCCCATATTTATCCCATTTCAGTATGTTTGCCAGTTTGTAAGGAACATAGAGCAACCATATTGTTCCAAAATAATGCACTCCTGGGTTTCATTGCTTTGATAATGGGCTGACTCCAGCAAGAATTGGCTGCCCAGCCCTGGGTTTTTGTCTGGCCTAAATAATCCCATGGCCCAAATCAGGCAATCTCAGAGCAGAAAAAGCTTTGGGTTTCAGCATGCTTCCCTCATTCCCCTCCTCGCCTCTGTCTGCAGACCCAGACGCAAGAGAAGATGAGTGTGATTTGTTAAATCGTGCTTCCCATTGACTTCTGAACCAGGTTTAAACATAGCTTGTGAAACAAGATCCATTTCCAACTGGTGAACAGCAGTTAGACTGCAGTCTTGTATGATATCTGAATAAGGAGACTGAGTTAATAAATCACAGTCGCTGTTCCATTGGCTGAAAAACTGGCCCAGCTGCAACTATTCCTGGCCACCCTGTATGTGATGTGAACAGGGAAGCATGATGTGTGCACGGAGGCCTCTCATCAAGGTAGAGAAAGGTGGCCAAGGAGAGAGCCCAAGAGGAGTGCCTGAAGAAGCCTCCCTTCTCAGCTCTTTGCCCGTCAGAGTCATAATGAAGGTTACAGCTAAACGGCCAAAATCCCTGAAACACTGTGAGCACAACCCTACTTTCTCCCCTCAGGTGTAACTGGACAAGGTATAACTTCAGTCAGTTTTACCAAGCTGTGGCTTAAGGGCCTGCAAGCTTTAAGGCATTTGCTTTGTTCTTTAACTTGCCCTCCCTCAAAGCACAAGTGCAAAATCCTACGTGTTTGGCCCCACCCACTTTGAGCATCACTAAACAAATGCTAGCGGTATGTGCGCAAATCCAGTTTGCACTTTTTAGCCCACAGTATAAAGACATAATAACCGAGTAGACCTATACTTAACTCTGTGAAAGTTTACTAAGTGGATAAGAAAAAATAAATAAAAATACATGAGCACAATTCATGCTTGAATGATAGATGCCAATACCTTTAAAGCTTTTAAGGTTTACAATTTTACTGCAAAGTTAAAATATTTTATTTTAAATTGCCTCGTTTAGAAATCACTGTCGCTTTCAACAGCATCCTGAACTCTTGTTGGCACCAAGGTTTATGAACCTTTTCTGAACTTTCTAATGTGACTAAGCCAAAACTTGAAACAGCAAGTCTGTCATATGAATTGCAATGGGACTCTCACTTGCACAAATGATTTCTCTGTCTCCTTGCCCTAGAATTGAGGCCGTTGTGCTCCAAAACTGGTCTCATATAGTGAAATCAGTAGGAGCTGTGCACACTTTACTAGCAACTTTAAAAAAAAATCTCAGAGGGAAAAGATAGGACAATTACTTAGGTGCTGTTTGATTGTACAATTAGCTCTGTAAGGATGTGATTCTTTTGCTAAATACAGGCTACTCAGTTAAAAAGATCTTAATTTGTCATAGTACTATCCCAAAGTCACTTTCTTTGTGTAATTTTGTGGATAGAAACTCATAAAAGTGTTATAGGCCTGGTGACTTTTGTATGAAAAAATATAAAGGGGAAAGATCTCATTAACTCTTAAACTAATTTAAATTAATTTATCTGTGAGAAATGTTTATCAGAAAGAATATATGTGTGTTTTTCTTCCCCTTTAGTTATGATGGAAATGAATGTCATTGGGAAAATGTGTGCCGGTGCGCAGGATTTAATTTTGCTAGATGTCTTTAATGAGATTTGATGACTTTGTCTGTGGTCGCCTTTAAAGACTTGTTAAATGTATCTTGTACTGTTTTATATCATCGGCCTTTTGAATACAGGCTAGTAGTATTATTCTGCCATCATGATTGGTTGGCAAAAAGATGCTGACAAAGGGAGCTTCAACAATTTTTCACAATGCCATGCATCAGGCCAAAGAAGTTGGAAATAAGCAATGTATGAATATAAATTCAGTCCTCTGATGCAGATGGTTCATATCCCTGCTTTTGCCATCCCTGTACTGTGGTTGAGCAAATTCAGGGTTTTAATGGGTATATTAATCTAAGCTCCATTTTCATCCTCAATACTTCCTGACTAAATATTTGTATCTCAGGAAGGAAGCATCAAGCACACAGCTTGCTCATGTGAAGATCCAATGCAACGTCCATCACAAGAAAATGAGAATGAAATTAAATGTAAGAGTTAGGACACTTGCTTTAAACCAAGGGTCGGCAACCTTAAATACTCAAAGAGCCAGAAAGGTCCTAACCAGAAGCCCCCCCCATTCAATTCTGGAGCTGACTGGAAGTCAGGTTCCCCCACCATAGAGTCTCCTAGTGCGGCATCCTTTTTCCTTTACCTGTTCTAACGAAAGCCCTATCAATTGTGCAGCTCACCAGCGACAGGGAGCCACAGCAGAGGGATGGAAGAGCCACATGTGGCTCCAGAGCCGCAGGTTGCTGACCCCTGCTCTAAATTATTGCTAACCTTCAGTGGCAAACTAAGAAAAATCATTACAATAGCGACTACCTCTTTCAGTTTCCTACTTCTTAACAATATGGCTGACAAGTATTATCAGATTGACTTGAATATGTGTATTACCCTAGTGAATGAATTAAATAACCAGAGACCAAAGTGAACACAATACCTGTGTGTCCTGAACATTGTCTTTTTATCTAGTGTTTTTAAACCTGTCCTACATAGAATATAGATTACCTCATGGTCCATTTTTAATTCATTATGTTGTTTACATATAATAAAAACAAGTCACTTGAATTTTGGGATCTTTTGAAAGAGAAGACAGTGATAAGGGGGTTGGGAAAGATCATGTTTCCACCTGTTTACTGTCTCCGTCTTGTTGGAACAAAGCACTGATTGTCTTTCTATATATCCTGTATTTTATACCTTCATTTAATGCGTATTGCGAATGTTTATTTCTATCAATCATCCATTTGTGACTGAGGTTTAAAAGGATTATGTGATGAAAAATAAAACATAACATTGGCATTTACCAACAGTTGTTGAGAGTTTAAGTATATGCTGGGTGGAAAAACATTGGGCACAGCCCCTAAATGATTTCTGTCCCATTTACAAATCATTCATTGGCATGAATTCTTCATGTTTGAAATTGAGTACGATGCTCACTTTTTAATGTTTTCAATACATTTACAATAGTCAAAGTCCTATTTTATTAAACTTTTATTGTAATTATTTTTCTGATCTTATACATTGCTCTTGTAACATTGTTAAGCAAAAGGAAAAGATCCACTGAGATTATAGTCCCAATTCCACCAAGAATGAACCCAAGGAAAGTTGGCTAGAGAGCCTTATTGCTGTATACAATATATGTGCATGGTGCTTAGATAAAATTTTTGTTATTACAAAACAACAAATTACAAGGTGGATGGTTGTTTTAATGGCATACAAATTAATCCAGTAAATCACCACCAGTTGGATTTGTACTTGACTGACAACGTAGTCAACAAGTAGTCCTTAATGGTATTACATCCACATGGAGAGAAGTAAGCAGTGGGGTACCACAAGGCTTTGTTTTAGGCCCAGTACTCATCAATATCTTCAGAAATGATTTAGATGAAGGAGTAGAAGGGGAACTCATCAAATTTTCAGATGACACTAAACTGGCAGGAATAACCAACATCCCAGAAGATAAGCTCAGGATCCAAAAAAGATCTTGACAGACTTGAACAATGGGCCCTATCCAATAAAATGAATTTTAATGTGGAGAAAAGCAAAGTTTTACATTTAGGCAGGAAATATCAAAGGTATAAGTACAGATTAGGCAAGACATGGCACAAAAACAGTAACTGTGAGAGGGTCCTTGGAGTCCTAGTGGATGATCACTTGAATATGAGCCTGCAGTGTGCAGCAGCAACAGCAACAAAGCTAATATGATCCTGGGTTGTATAAACACAGGAATAGAGTCAAGATCACGTGAAGTATTAGCACCGCTTTATAAAACCTAGTAAGGCCACACCTGGAATACTGCAGCCAGTTTTGGTCACCATACTACGAAAAAGATGTTGAGGACTCTATAAAACAGCCCATCTGGATAGAAGATATTTGTCTGGATACTGTTCATGATATTTCAAATATAATGCTGTGACTCAGAAATGTTTTGTCTCCTCCAAAGGGTCATTCAATGGGAATTTCTGCAACTCTGAAACAAGCAAATGCATGTATTTCTTGTACATTTTTGTTGAATGGGTTGAAAGGGAAAGCTGGATGGACAGCCAACCCTGACACAGCTCTTTTATACCATAGGTGGCTGGATTAATCATAGATTGTCTTAAGTCAATACATAGCTGAAATGTCCATTCAGCATCCGCTTTTACTACAGAGGATGGAGGGGAATTCATATCACAAGAGTGCTTTGAACAGGAAATCAAGATGTGGCCTGAGTATATGATTAATCTCTAAGGGGGAAATGAAGGAGGAGCATTAGAAACTGAAGTGCAGTCAATTACTACAACCGGATGACATTCAACTCAACATGATCACAAGCCTCTTATACATCTGTGAAGTCATGTTGTCATCCTGTCTACTGGAGCCTATTTCAGAGAGAGACGACCTGAATGCTATGTGCCACCTTCTTAAGGGCATCTTCCAGAGCTCTAGTTATAAATGGAACAGCAAAAAATGATTTTTTCCAATACTGTGTGAATATAATACTGGAAAAATGAAGATATACCGTGAGATGATGAGATAGTCAGGAAGATATTAGATTGTGCAGAAATGGATAGATTGATATTGAAAATTAAACAGAAAGAAGACCTAGAATATTATCAAACATGGGATTTATTTTACCAATGGTTGGAAAAGGGGGTGGAAATTTGTATTGTTAAGCAAATTAAATACCCAGACAATCCGATGATTATTAAGCACTAAAAACTGTATTTAATAGGCAATCAATTTTTTAAAAAAGGATTTTTTTAAAAAAAAAAGCTTATTAATTTAATTCACTTTTAACTGAAATGCTTTCCATCAAATGTTCTTTTTGTTTTCAGAAGAAATCAAGGAAGCAAAACATTCTGGGGATGCTACAATTATCATAAATACATGCTGGTTGCCAAGCAACCCAAGTTTGATTACATGGTGGTAGAGATGCCGCAATAGCCATAACTCTGAAAATGGGTCATAAGTCATTCTCCACCCTCAGTGCTATTGTAACTTTGAATGGTCATTAAACAAAAGGGTATAAGTCGAGGACTGCCTATAATCTGGAATTGTTCACTTTGTCTATTGATTGACACAGGACCAGGTGAAGTTCAGATGCTGTTATTTTACAGGCTTCAATAAAATTCCAGAAAAAAAAGGGGGGGAAAGGATGGTCTTAGATGATCTGAGAAGTTGATAAGAACATCCAATTTAAAAGATACCAAATCGTTAAAAATAAAAGACGTAATAAAGATGTATCTGAAGATACACAGAGAGGTGAAAAATGCACTAATTCTATATGTGCTCTAAAAGGTCTTCTAAATTATATTAATAAAATATGTATTTCAGGACTTTGTGATAATCCAGAAGAGAGAGCTGTGGGGATGTTATATGTTACATTACCTAACAAATAAAAGCAGCTGTAGCTATTATAACTATGTGTTATAGGTGTGTGTGTGTGTGTGTGTGTGTATACATGCATATTCATATGTATGTTATAGCTGTTTTAAAACAAGGTGGTCCCAATTTTAATTGAACAGATTAATGCTGGCAATGTCTTCCATCTCATATCTTCCATCCACATATCTGCTAAGTAATGTTACTGTTCACTGAAATTAGAAAGACTAGGACAAATTTAAAATTGTTAGGAAGATATTTCCAAGAAATAAAGATTTCACAAATGCTCTTATAATCATTAGATTTGAGGCTGGCATAAGTGTTTGCTATTCTTTCTTTTTTTAAAAAAAAGAAAAGAAACCAAAAACAGCTCAAATGAAAGCTGCATTTCACCAAGAAATGCAGATACTCCAAATCCTTTTGGAATCTGTGAAGTGAACTAACATTAAACCAAAAGACTGGTTTTATTATTTATGCTAAAAGGACATGGGATTGACTGATTTGTGATTCAGTGGTTGTGATTCCAACTCATGTGATTGGGCATTCTGAGTGGATTAAGAAAACAAACCTTACCCATGGTTATATGTGTTATGCAAAACTACACAGCAGCTGCTTACGAAAGAAAAACTTCATACTCCATGAAGCGTTTATAGCTGGGAGAAGTTGCCTTGATTTATATAGGTATAGGGCAAATAACTTCCAATAAATAAAATCCAGTTACCATTAGAAAAGACTTTCCAAGGGGCTTGTACCAAAAGAGAAACAATACTGCAAGCATGTATGAAGGAAAGAAGGTCTGAAGACCATAGGAATTCAGTCTGAAGGAAACTTGAGCCATGGTGATGCACTGGTTAGAATGCAGGACTCTTTGATCACTCCAGGAGTTCAATTCTGAGCGGATCAAGGTTGACTCAGCCTTCCATCCTTCTGACGTTGGTGAAAGGAAGACCCAGCTTGTTGGGGGAAATATGCTGACTCTGTAAACTTTACAGAGGGCTGTAAAGCACTGCAAAGTGGTATATAAGTCTAAGAGCTATTGCTATAGGGAAGCTGCTAGCATTATTTCTGTTGTGAGGGATTGGTTAGGATGAAGCCTGAGAAAATGTGGAACGCCTCTTATGGATTGTAACTAAGTAAGTTAACTAAACCGTTAAGATTAAGCGATACATGAAACACAGAGGTTGTATTTGCATTGTATGATTAAACCAGTGGTGGGTTCCAGATTCCTTTCCAACCAGTACGGTTGGAACGGCCCCGGCATCACCCACATGCACGCGTGCAGCACATGTGCACACATGCACAGCACACACATGCATTGTAGCTGGAAACAACGCTTCTGCAAGCCTCTGCAATGCTCCAGCTGCTCAGTGGAGAGTTGTGCAGGTGCTGTATGCGCCATGCATGTGCACAGAAGTGCCGACAGCTTTAAAACACGGTAAGGAGCACAGGCGGGCAGGCCCTCTGGAGCATCATATCAGAACGGTATCTGGTGCTCCAGGCTGGCTCCAGTAAGCCCGTACTGGGGTGTAACGCCTCCAACCCGCCACTGGATTAAACCAAAGTGTAATGTGTAAACCAGCTTGTATGGTTTAGTATCTTCTATAAGCTCAAACCTGGTTAAGCAAACAATGATTTAGCATGCTATAGAAATACAACCATAGTTAAAACACAGATATTACTAAAAGATAATGCCAGCCATCAACTTTACAAAAGAGTTTACATTAATTGGGAAAGGGTAGCATTAACAGTAATGACTAGAATTGTTGCAAACTTATATTTATAGACTTCTATTGATTGGATCTAATTGGAATAGAATCAGGGATAGAAAGCTTTTGATCCGCACCAAAAGGGCTCTTCCTAAATTCTAAACTTAGCTTTAAACAAGTTTGCCTTTTGAAAAATGCCACCTTATGTCACAGAAATATTTCCCTGAAAGATGACCATAATGTTCATCATTTTATTTTATTCATTTTTATCTAACAGCAATATCATTTCCATTACTATGACAGTAAAATCCAGTTACAGCAAGATTGATTTTAAGATTCATGTCGATGGCAATAGTTGAAAGTTTTACAGCAATGAAGTACCAATATCAGGCTAATTGAAAACCTTTATTACATATTGTTGCAGGGAAATCCATAAATTTAGCCAGGAAAATTTGAAAAGAAAACAGGCAAAATAGCAATGTTGTTACTTTATGACTAATCAATTATGTGTAGAGTTAACATTAAGATACAATACAAACCTGTCAATAACTGAATATAACTTCTAATGTTGGACTGCACTGGAAAAATCCATTACAGCCAAAGTTTTATTTCACTGAATGGTTAAAAATATAGCCGTGGTACCATGAGAATCACACATATAGGCTATGATAACTGTTGTTTGGCTGTTAGAAGGGAAGCTTATATAGAGAAACCCTTTGTTTTGAAATCACATGCTTTTCTTTTAACAGTTTTATTGTACCAAAAAGTTAAATACATTTTTTCTCCTACGTCCAGGATTCCAGGTGTGAAACATTCAATCCAGTTCAAGATGATTAGAAATGATGCAACATTAACAGTGAATTATAATGGCACCATAGTAAATTCACAGTTTAAAAAAAATTCTTTGGTTAATCCAGTCTAGTACTTCCTAAGTCTGAATTGTATAACTGTAAAGTTTTTCGATGATGATGATGATGATGATGATTTTATCAGATATACAACTATGGCAGCATCTTATCAAAATAATTAAATACCTAGAAAAATAAACTTGTTCCATGTCACAAACTGACCATTGAATTTTTAATACTAAACTTCAGTTTTCAAAAGCTGTGCAGTATACAAAGATTTTCAAAAATAGCTATCACATAAATAATTGCTGATTTTAGAGCCATCTGTCATAACAAATGTATTTTCTTTTACCTTAGAGCTTTTTCCTTAAGATGCTTGTCAGTATACCTGACTATTTCTAGTTATTTTCTGACTCAGCTATAATTAAAGGTAAAGGTTCCCCTCATACAGGGGTGGGTTCTAGCCAGCGTTACTGCCGGTTCACTTGTGGATATGCTTCACATGCCTGTGTGCAGTTTAATAGAAATTGTTCTGTGCATGCGCAGAACTCAAAAACAAGATGGTGGCGGAGACTACAGCGACCAGGGAACCAGTTCGGAGCGTTGGGTTCTGCAACCCAGGCCAGATACCACTACCAGTTTGACCGAGCTGGACCAAACCAGTAGGAATCCACCTCTGGCCTCACAATATGTGCTAGTTGTTCCCGACTCTAGAGGATGGTGCTCATCTCCGTTTCAAAGCCGGAGAGCCAGTGCTGTCCAAAGACATCTCCGAGGTTATGTGTGCAGCATGACTAAATGCCGAAGGTGCATGGAATGCTGTTACCTTCCCTCCAAAGGTGGTCCCTATTTTTCAACTTCCACTTTTACATGCTTTCGAGCTGCTAGGTTGGCAGAAGCTGGGAAAAGTAATGGGAGCTCACTCCATAACGCGGCGCTAGGGATTTGAACCACCAAACTGCCGACCATTCTGATCGACAAGCGTCTTAGCTACTGAGCCACTGCTGCTCTCCCGGCTATAATTACAATAAAATTAAACATTATCTATCACC